CCGAGTGCCATCAAACGCTACCAAGACGTGTTGGAATATGCCAGGTCGAAAGTCGACTACGTGTTCGACGTGGGACTGTACATGGCTCCGAGCGATATGCAACTGAGAATAAAGAAAGTGGTGGGCTACAACAACGAAATAATTGTAGCCACGGCGGACCAAAAGTTGGGCGTCAACCTCGATGTTAACATCCCACACGACAAGCCATCCACGACCGGTGAAATGGGTATAGTAGCACCACCCCCGGAGCCTAGGGTTCAACCAACACCACCACACACACAGCCTGCACACGTTCTGGAGCAGCACATCGATAATAAAACAGCAATGGTGGTTGGAGGGGTGGCTTTGGGTATTATTTGGTTAAAAATTTCTTAGCCGCTACGTACACCAAACCAGCTACGGCGACGATAGCTGCCCACAAGTTTTGACTGAGCCACGTAGCAATTTTAGCTAAAACACTCAGCAACCACGAGACGATGCTACCCAGGATGCCAGGCAGGGCTTCGGCGGCCTTACCAGCCAGTTTAGCCAGGGTTTCCCCTAGTTTTTTTTATCCAGGCTCTGACACCCCCACCACTTGGTGCAGGCGTGGGTGTACCCCCACCGCCGCCGGCAGGCATCAGTGACACTACCAGGGTTGATATGATGAAGCCCAATGCAGTCAAAATGCTGGCGATGGTGATGCCTTGTTCACGGAACAGGATTCGGATCCTGTCAGCTAGCGTGGTGTCTTGGTGGAGGACTCGATCGATGGTTTCTCGCACACGACTGATCTGAGATCGTAGGACTTCCCGGTTCGAGGAAGCGGACTCCAACCGAGTCCGTCTCTCGTCTTCCAAGTTTTTTATTCTCTCCTCGATACGCCGTTTCATATCATCGTCTTCAGTTTCGGTGAGTTTTATTTTCTCTCGGCGATGCGCGCGTCGACTTCGTTCAGTTTACCCATGTTGTTAGCGAGTTCTCCGGCGTACATGTTTCAAGGCTTCGTCTAGGCCTCGCGCAGTTCTCTCAGAGGAAATTCGAGACCCGGCAAGGGTTTGTCATGATACGTAGCCAATATTTTTCGATACTGTCCGACGTTTCTTTAGCACGCTGTTCCTAGTATTGGCTCTGGCTGCTTGTAGATCTTGGGCGGTCTTCGGAGGAAGTTTAGATCGCCGGCGCCGTAATCTACGGCCTAGTTCATCACGGATAAAGTTACTACCATGACGACTGGTGAGTGTTGATAAGGCAAAGCGGTTCTCTCGCGGATTCATGAGATCGATCTCGGGTAAGCCTTCAATCGCAACGTGCCCTTATTATCGACTGTAAACTTGGAATAGTCCCTCCCCAACGGTTTGATGTCTTCTCTATTTTCAACTGCGTTGTAATAATCGTTGACAGTTGGCTGTACGAGTTCAGCACTTAATGAGGTGGTGTCATCCCCGAATGCCTAGGCACTATCATCCCACATATCCTCGATAGGGATATACTCGGCCATTATTTAGTATTAAAACTTATATATTTCATTTATATAACAATGTACGGTAGAAAACTAGATCCTTTCAGGAGATCGAGAGAGCCCCATGTCAAAGCCGTGCGTCAGTCTGTGACCATCACCAACAATCCCAGCAAGATAGATCAGAATCAAACGCTGCTGGTTAGATTTCCAAACCTTGGCGCGAATGACCTCATTGTACCAGGCACTGTTCGATAGGCGTTCAACATCACGTTGACCTCCACCAACGACAAACGCGAGCTAGTGCGGAACGTAGGTCGAGTCATTATCAAGAAAACGACCATCAAGATCACCGGTAACGAGGTGCTGAGCATCGACGACAGCGACGTCTTTCACTGCTACAAGGACCTCTGGAAAAGCGAGGGAGAACGTGTCAACGACGTGTACCAAGGTATCAGTAAATCGACCAGATCGCGCATTGGGTATGGCTTCACGCAAGATCAGCTAGACAAGCTATCGGACGGTGAAAAAGCCATCGCTCAAGCGTACGGAAACAGGTTCTGCGTGCCGCTCGACTTCGAGTTGCTCACGGAACACGCCGCTTTACCAAGCCGCTGGGTGATAGGCTTGAATACGAGCTCAAGTTTAATGACTACAGCAAAGTAGTGCGCCGCGCCGAACGGCGATGAGGCCAGTTATACCATAGACAACATCTCTCTGGAGTTCGACATGGTCACTAGTCCGAGCTGGCAAGGCAGGTTGAAGCCAGTACTTTCGGGTAATGTAGCCATCCTGTAATGCGATCGCGTACTAAGGCATAGATCTATCGTCGCGGGATAAGAGCGACACTGTGTGGAATATCAACCTGAGCGTGCGGTAGCGATCGATGAAAGGCATCCTGGTAGTCCCTGTTGAGGATTACGAGCGTTCGGAGGGATAGCGAAGTTTTTCAATCCGAGATCGAAAAGGTGGAAGTGACTATAGAGGGCGTACCCAACCAGCTGTTTAGTCATGGTATGCGTGCGTACCAACAGTGGGATGAGATAAAAAAGATGCCGAGCAAACATCCATATATAGCCAAAGACCTGGACCTATCCTCCGTGCAAATCGGCGAATACTTAACCAATAAGTACGCGCTGTAGTTGGACATGCGATCCACGGATGACGATAAACTGCACGGTAGCGGCCGTAGAATAGACAATGGTAGCGAAGGGATTACTATCCAGATTACTAAGAAGGCTCAACCCGCTGGCAAGTTGAAATTATATCTGTATGCGTTATTATGGACGGCGCAACTTAATATAGACAATGGGAGATTCGTGCCAAGCCATTTACTGCCTGGCGTCCTATTGATTTGCCCGCTGACCCACACTGCGCCATAGTGTGGGGCAGACTGGCTGTGGTAAAGACCGTTTTCGTGTTGGATATGTTGGAGGGGTACTACAGGGATGTGTTCGATCACATCGTTATCATGTGCCCTACTCTGAGCATGAATAAAACGTACACGGAAAGACCTTGGGTGATGACGGACCCTGACGTACACAGAGTCGATCCGGGGCCACGTGTACAGGACTGGTTGAAAGCTTACCATATGAAATTTAAAGGGGAGTCGACGCTGTTCATACTGGACGACTGCAGCGCTAATCGCGAGATAACAAAAAAGAGAGATATGCTATCGTACCTGGCATTTTCAGGCCGACACGCAAAGCACAGCGTCTGGGTACTAACGCAGAAGTTCAACTCGGTGTTGAAAGACCTCAGGGAGCAGACGCGATGGGTGGCCTTATTTCACTGCAAGGACAGGGATTCGTTCGAAGAGTGTTTGAGAGAGAACGATGTGATGAGCAAATTAGAACGGGAACGGGTGAAGAAACAGCTAGCTGAAACTAAACACGCTAAGCTCGTGCTTAAGACAGACCAACCAGTAGCCTATAGTGTGTTTTAGCTTAGCAATGCTTAGCAATGCTTAGCAATGCTTAGTAAATGCTTAGCAAATGCTTAGCAAAGCTAAGTAAAAGCTTAGCAATGCTTAGTATAGCTATGGTATTTGAAGTGCTCGTCGTGTGCAACTTAACCTTTATTTCTCTGTGTTTCGCTTATATCGTATATTATATTGTTAAAACTAAAACTTACTTGTTACATTATAAGATGGAGTGTGAGGAATTGCTAGAGCAACTGTTGGTACCCCAATCACCACAGGTGGGCGATGATGATAAGCGAGAGAAACTGGTGGCGTTGGCTGTTGGTGGCAAAGCCAAACATTACTTTGGGGAGTACACTCGGATAAAATTCACAAAATGTCAGCCGAAGAAATCGATAAACTGTACGCTAAATACGAGGCTAGACTAGGTTCAGAAATGACAAAACAATAGGATCGGCTATGACCCAGATATACACTGGTATTGCGTCATACTTCCTTCCCATCCCCCCGGAGCGCCGACTTTACCTGTGGGAAGACCTCGAGAAAGACCCTTTTATCGAACAGGCCTTGAGCTCTATTAGCTGCGAGCTGTACCACAAATACGGTATGTTGTTAGCCCCGGTTACGGCGGCGATTATCACGGCAAAGCATTGTCAATTTGAGAGGAAAAATAATAATAATAGTATAGATGGATGCTGCACAGACCCCACAACTGGCGGAGACCCCCAGGGAGGAGACCTCTTCAGAGGAGACCCCACCCCAACAACTGGAGGTTCCTACAGTGACCAGGCAGAAGAATCCTAAGAGAGTAGCTGCCGGTAAAAAACGGTGGTGTAACCAACATAAAATTATCAGGGTGACTCACCGGGCGACTCTTGTTAGTTGTATGCGCCAACTGCTGCCGTGGCTATCTCATGGTTATATACACGACGCAGTGAGTCCCCTCACCGAATTAAAGGTCAACCGCATATCATGCAATAAAATATATATTTTTATATCATATACATAATGTCTGAGGGAAAACGTTCGTCAACGACGCATACCACGCCACAGTGGTCGCCAGTCTAGCCGTAGGATACGCTCGGTTGACCAAAATGGTGCTTAAACAACCAACTATCAAGCTAGATTTCAACCTGCAGGATATGGGTATGCTAATAATGAACCTTGGTATGGCGATGGCCACAAAAGACATCCTAGTAAAACAAGGGATAATACCTGAAGATATTATGAAGTAAATATAAGGATGGCCACTATTGCTATGATGGTCGGTGGTGCGTTAGTGAATGCCCTGGCATTTTCCGGGAGTAATTTCCTCTTTTCGAAACTACGAGAGTCACACGCGGCTGAAATACAGGCGGAGAGGAAGCGGCACGATCTCGCTATTGAGAAATTACAAACAGCACAGGCCGAGTACGCTAAACAACGCCTCCAGAGGATCGATTACATTAACGAACAACTCAGGCGTGAAAACCATGCCGTTCAAACATTCCACGATGTCGACGACGTAGCGAGACAATACTACTTATTAACTGGTAAACGATTGGAGCCACTGAATAAACCCACACTCGCTCAGTACTACACACCATCCAAGGGGCAAATGGACCGTGAACTGACCTTCATAGCGCTGGGTATAGCGGCGACTGCGTTGGTTCTATAAAACAATTAGACTAAGTACTCATATAAGTATGCTAAACATGAGACCTGCTCCATACCGATGCGAATACATTCTTATGGGGAAGACAGATCCCTGCGGTAAGAAATGTAGGAATGAGGGGTACTGTTGTTTCCACATGGGAAGCCCTAACTACACGTGTTCTGTGTGTGGTATCGGGGTCAAAGGGCACTACTGTCTATGTAAAGCTCACGGAGCGAACGTAGTCAGACATCACCTCATCTACGAGAATAAAAAGGCCTACATAAAAGAACGTAGGCGGCTTCTCAAGATAGCAGTGTAAGGTGGGAGGAGTTACCTCCCTTTGCCAGTGATCTTGATTTTTTACCTTACGGTGGTCCAATTAGACATTAATTCTCTTAGGTGTGTATACAATTATGGCTACTATACGCGAGCTTAAGAATATCGCCAGAAGCCGTGGTGTGATCGGGTATTCTCGAATGACCAAACCAGCATTGTTGAGATTACTAGGTTTAGAAGCCCCTCCTACTGTAAAACAATTAAAAGCTCAAGCAAAACAGCTTGGGCTCACGGGTTATTCAAACCTGGGGAGAACCGGGTTAAACGCATTGTTATCACATGCCCCCGGAGCGCTGAACGGTAACCGTCAGCTCCCCACTGTAAAAGAACTGAAAGTTCAGGCACGTGATTTGGGGTTAGGTGGGTATTCCCGTATGAGTAAACCACAGCTTGTAGAACTATTAAGGCAGAATAGAGCTATTGACCTACAGTTCATACCCACTGAAGCGTGCTGTAGGTAATTATTTAAGAGGCTGGCGCATGCACGTTGATAGGAACATAGACATTACAGATATTAAGCCACTGATAGCTGACAAAATAAATCAGGAACTAACCAGTCTGGGAAGTATCAAATTTCAAATCACGGTTAAAATGTCGCTCGATAAGCAAGTTGGGGGAGGGGTCACTGAGTACGTTCAACCTTACTTCAGAGGTAGGCAAGAGGTCGTCACGCATACAGAGACCATAGACGCATCGATCGATACCAGTTTTCAACAGATACGGGAATACCTAGAACGCTACACACACTTGGGGTCCGGGTGGGCTGTAGATAAAATCGATAATGTCTATCTAGACATAGCTAACTACGTGCCGTTCAGAGGCGGGTCATACCTAGACTTGCCTCCCTACTATAAGAAAAAACATGCCATAGTAAACGTCAGGAATAGAGGAGATGATTGCCTGAGGGTAGCTATCAGGTCAGCCTTGTTTCCAGCTGACACTAATTCGAACAGGCTTTCTAGCTATCCCCAAGATGATGGGCTCAACTGGGATGGTATAGATGAACCAACCCCCATATCCCAGATCACTAAAGTAGAAAAACAGAATAATCTAGCTATAAATGTCTTTGGGCACGAAGGTAACACAACAATGGTACACAGGGTCAGCCCAGTGGGGGGAAACCCCCCTCGCGTTATCAATATATTCATGATCCAACGAGGTGAAAAGTATCACTACACGTGGATAAAACATCTCAGCCGGTTGTTGCACGACCAGTCGAAACACGATGGGAAAAAACACTTTTGTGTGCGATGCCTACACGGTTTCAGTCGAGCTGATTTATTAGAATCCCACCGGGAGGATTGCCAAGGTGTGGGGCAGACGGCCATACGGGTTGACATGCCCGAGGAAGGTGACAATATCCTAAAATTCGACAATCACAAGAACCAAATGTCCGTGCCTTATATCATATACGCCGACTTTGAAGCCTTGGTCAAACCTATTAAGGTTGTTGGGGATACTCCCACCACACATAAAACACAGGAGCATGAAGCCTGTGGGTTTGGATACGTTGTCGTCCGATGTGACGGGGAAACGAAAGCTCCGGTAGTGTATAGGGGTCCTGACGCGGCTGAAAGGTTTCTTAAGTGTTTGCAGGAGGAAGAAAAAATTATTAGGAACGCGTTGTATAGAGTCGCTCCCATGCGTATGACCCGAGCCGACAGGTTAGCTCACGCCTGTAGCACTAACTGTCACGTGTGCGACTCACCACTTAACGGTGATTCGTGAGAGATCACTGTCACGTAACCGGTAAGTATAGAGGCGCCGCTCATAACGCGTGTAACCTCAAGCTTAAAATCACCCCTAAGACAATAAACATCCCCGTTGTCTTTCACAACTTGAGAGGGTACGACTCTCACTTAATCATGCAGGCCATCGCGAAAATCGATGGTAATATAACGTGCATTCCCAACAACATGGAGAGATACATCTCCTTCAGCTTAAACGGTCTTAGGTTCATAGATTCAGTACAATTTCTATTGTCTTCATTAGGCAGTCTGGTCAAGGCCAACGATACCTTCCCTATCACCGATCGATACACCGACGCCGAGACTAGACCCTGCTTATGAGGAAGGGTGTGTATCCCTATGAGTACATGGATAGTTGGACCAAGTTCGCCGAGACCAGACTACCCCCATCAGAGAATTTTACAGCAATCTGACCGACTCGGAAATATCCCAAGACGATTACTCGCGCGCGATTAATGTATGGAATAAACTGGGTTGTAAGAACCTGGGGATTATCACGATCTGTACTTGAGGATGGATGTACTGCTGTTAGCCGACGTGTTTGAGACGTTTAGGCGGACGTGTTTCAAGCAGTATAAACTAGACCCGCATGGTATTACACCAGCCCAGGTCTGTCGTGGGATGCCTTGCTTAAAAAGACCGGAGTTAAGTTGGAATTGCTTACGGATTATGACATGCACCTATTCATTGAGAAAGGCTTGCGAGGTGGGATCTCCATGGCAGCCAAACGATACGCGAAAGCAAATAATCAATACGTGAAGGGCTACGACCCTAGCAAGCCAACCAATCACATTCTCTACCTCGACGCCAACAACCTGTACGGCTGGGCCATGAGCCAGTATCTACCCACAGGGGGATTCGAATGGGTGTCACATGAGGTTGATGTTATGAGCATCGCGCCGGATTCGAACAAAGGTTATATCCTCGAGGTTGACTTGGAGTATCCCAAAACATTACACGAATCACACAACAGTTACCCCCTGGCCCCAGAACGTATGAGGGTTAACCTGGACTGGATGTCTGAGTACCAACATAACTTATTAGGTGGGAGGGTGACGGACGTTGAAAAACTCGTGCCTAACTTAATGAATAAGACCAAATACATCGTACACTATCGCAACCTGCAGCTGTACCTGTCGTTGGGTATGAAACTGACCAAAATACACAGGGTGCTCGTGTTCGATCAGAGCCCCTGGATGGAGCCTTACATCAGAATGAACACAGACCTCCGAAAGCTTGCCACCAGTGACTTTGAGAAAAATCTCTACAAGCTCATGAACAACTCGGTGTTCGGTAAGACTATGGAGAACCTGAGGAAACGCGTGACCGTGAAGCTGGTTCGGTCGAATGAAGAAGACAAGCTCAGGAGACTGATAGCCAGTCCGGCATTCAACCGTAGCAAGATATTCACCGATGATCTAGTTGCCCTACACATGAAGAAAAGCCACATAAAATTCAACCGGCCTGTTTACGTGGGGATGAGCATCCTCGATTTATCCAAACACCTGATGTACGACTTTTACTACAACGAGCTTAAGAAACAGTACGACGACAGGTGTGAAGTGCTGTACACTGACACGGATTCCCTGCTGATGGAGATTCGAACCGAGGACGTGTACGAGGACATGAAAAAAACACCTCGATTTGTACGACACCAGCGACTACCCCAAGGACCATGCCATACACAGCACGGTGAATAAAAAAGGTCCTAGGTAAGATGAAGGACGAGTGTGCTGGCACGCCCATAGCCGAGTACATAGGGTTGAGGCCTAAGATGTACTCCATACTGAAAGCCGACAATAGTGAGATCCGGAAGGCTAAGGGTGTTAAGAAGTACGTGGTGAAACAACACATCAAACACGCCAGATTCAAGGAAGCTCTGTTCAAGACCCGTACCTTTAGACATAAAATGAACACACTTAGAAGTGATGGCCATAGGATATACGGGCTGACTATAAACAAGACGTCTCTGTCGCCTATGGACACTAAACGTTGGATAGCTATTGATGGGATCAACACGTACGCGTATGGACATGAGAAAATTGAACCAAGAACGGAACCAGAAAAAGTTTGAGGCTATTTACTATAGCCCGCGTGGGTACTGGAAAGGAGCTAGCGCTGTAGATAAGCTGGCTAAAATGGCGCGAGTACCCCCGGAGGAAGCCAAAGCATGGCTTGAAAAACAAGCCCTGTGGCAGATCTATTTGCCGCCACCACGCTACGTGCCTAGAAGGAAGTTTGGTATTAACATACCTAATAGCGTTCACCAGGCAGACCTACTGTTCCTACCCCACGACAAGAGGTACAAGTATGCATTAACCGTAGTGGACGTAGCCAGTCGCTACAAGGAAGCCGAACCCTTGACCGCGAAAGATTCTGTCCAGGTAGCCAGAGGATTCGAACGCATATACAAACGCAGTCCGCTGACGTGGCCAACAGAGCTGCAAGTTGACCCCGGGCGGGAGTTCATGGGTGCCGTGTCACAACTGCTAGCCAAACACGATACAAAGGTCAGGCGTGGCACGGCCGGAGCCCATCGCAGCCAAGCCATAGTTGAGAGATTTAATAGGACTTTGGCTGAGCGCTTATTCGGGCATCAGTATGCGAGGGAGATGGCCACCCCAGGAAAACGATCGACTGAATGGGTCACGAGGTTACCTAAGGTGGTGTCGGCAATAAACCATGAAGTCACCCGTCTCACCGGTAAGAAACCTGCAGACGCTATCAAATTAAAATCAATAGCGTCAGAGTCGGCCGCTCCATTGCGTGGGAAGGAGAAACAGATACCAGACAGGGCCCTAGTGAGGTACCTATACCAGCCGGGGGAACACGAGGGTGATAGCCGTAAGCGAGCCACCGATCCTATATGGTCAGTCAAAACTTACAACATAGATAAAGTTGACATCAAAGCAGACGAGCCTAACTTGTACTACTTGAGGGATGGGCCAGGGAGGGGTTTTGTAAGAGAAGAATTATTGATCGTACCGTACGGTACAGTGTTACCTCCTGTCAACACGGCATAGGGGGACATTTTGCTTGAAATTTTTATAGGTTGGGTAAGCAGTAGGGGTAATGGTAGCAAGAGCTAAGGGTCCGACCAAAGCCTTATTCCCCAAATAAGGCTTTGCAGAGGCTTTTGTTGGAAGTGATCCAGGACTGTCTTTTTATCTACTACTATATTAATTAATATTTTATGGCCTAAACTGGCGAATATGGTGTCGAGTAAGAAACAATCATCAGACATGTTCATTTTAGCCGACTGCTACAAATTGGTCCGTTCGAATTTTGTTTCAATGAATATGCTAGCCGTATATGATATCGCATCATGGAGAAACCCGGACTGCTGGGTGATTATTTCTATAACTGACGGTGTAGCTGCGAAATGATGCGGCTTTAAGCACTATTTTATTACTCACTGACGTTAATATTTTTTCCAGCTTCCGGACACATATTATTTCTTATAATGATCCCTGTCGCTAATGAGTTAGCTCTCAATATTCATTTTCAAGTCCCTTGGGAAAATATAGCCCATGTAGCATGTGAGGTGCCGGGAGGTTATCGCAGAGATTACTATCCTCTTATCGGGTACGGGGCGGTGGGGGTAGCCTAGTGGTTACAGCGTTCGCTCGTCACGCCGAAGGCCAGGGTTCGATTCCCCACGTGGGTACAATTTGTGAAGCCCATGTGTCCCCCGCCGTGATATTGCTGGAATACTGCTAAAACGGCGTAAAACCATACTTAGTCAGTCAGTCAGTCCTATCGGGTACCCATTTACACACACATTCTACAGTTCATATCGTCATTACCTTTGCCCTTGAGAAGATCCAAAATCATGCCGGATTTTGTCACGTAGCCGAGCACGGGCTTTGAACTGATCAGGCCACAGATAAATTTCAGGGAAGGGCGAATACGGGATTCGAACGGGGACTATAGGATTTCATAGGTTCGGGTGATCAGCTGGTTTTGACCTTGTATAACAGTGGGGCACCACTGGATCTCTTTAGATAGACAGCAGAATCTTGCACACCACTGGAACACATTTGGATCCCCCTCTGAAGGTAAAATTAAGATTAACCCTGGATGCTTCAGACAGACCGGTGGATTCACCTGGATATCTTTAACAGATCATTAAAAAACCCTGGGCACCTCTTACACACTACTGTTATGACTTGGAAACCCTCTGGATCCCTCTGAGAGACCACTGAACATGTCCTGGATCCCTCTTACAGACCATTGACCATCCCCTGGAACCCACTGACAGACCACTGAACATCCCCTAGATGCCTCTGACAGACCACTCAACATCCCCTGGATCCCTCTTACAGACCACAGAACATCTCCTGGATCCCTCTGACAGATCACTGGACATTATTTGGATCCCCTCTGACAGACTACTGAACATACCCTGGATCCCTCTGAAAGACCACTGATCATCCCCTGGATCCCTCTGACAGACCGCTGAACATCCCCTGGATGCCTCTGACAGACCACTGGATATCCCCTGGATCCCTCTGACAGACCACTGAACATCCCTGGATCCCTCTGACAGACCACTGAACATCCCCTGGATGCCTCTGATAGACCACTGAACTTCCCCTGGATCCCTCTGACAGAACAATGAACATCATCTGGATGCCTCTGACAGACCACTGACCAAACCCTGGATCCTCTTTCAGAACACTGAACATCATCTGGAGCCCTGTGACAAAACAGTCAACATTATATGGATCCCTCTGACAGACCATCGAACATCATCTGGATCCCCTGACAAAACAGTAAACATCATCTGGATCCCTCTGACAGAACACTGAACATCATCTGGATCCCTCTAACAGAACACTGACCAACCCTTGGATCCCTCTAACAAAACACTGGACATCATCTGGATCCCTATGACAGACCACTGAACATCATCTGGATCCCTATGACCTACCACTGAACATCATCATCAACAGGATCCCTCTTAGAGAAAACTGAACATCCCCTGGATCCCTCTGACAGACCACTGACTAACCCCTGGATCCCTCTGACAGAACACTGACCAACCCTTGGATCCCTCTAACATATCACTGACCAACCCTTGGATCCTCTCTCACAGATCACTGACCAACCCGTGGATCCCTCTAACAGAACACTGAACATCCCTGGATCCCTCTAACAAATCACTGACCAACCCGTGTATCCCTCTAACAGAACATTGAACATCCCTTGGATCCCTCTAACAGACCACTGAACATCACCTTGATCTTCTGACAGACCACTGACCAACCCTTGGATGCCCCTAACAGAACACTTAACATCCCTGGATCGCTCTGACAGATCACTGAACATAACCTTGATCCTTCTGACAGACCATTGACCATCCCTTGGATCCTTCTCATAGACCACTGAACACCCCCTGGGATCCTCTATAATGTCACACAGTCTAACCTGGATTCCCTCGATACCACTGATGAATGTAAACTCGTGAATCGTTTATTGACTTATCACGAGTTGGCATCATTTTAATACCTGTACAAACTTCACCTGTCCAGTGTGTTCCTTGGTATCATGTACACCGACCTGCTCTGGGGTCGCAGAGTCTGACCACACGTTGAGGTCAGACAGTTCCTCGTGCTGACGACAGAGGATTGGTATACATTGATGCTATTGTCCAAGTGACATTGTACATACTTCACTAACTGTATACACAGTGTGTCCTTGACTTAAACATCAGTTCTAATGACAAGAGTCATCACTTCTACAGACAAGAGTCTGACGAGTTGTTCAATTAAGCTGCTAAATTTTAATACTTGTTATCCTGAATTCCCATTGGTACTTTGATGAAATATATTTCTCATTAATTCCAAAATTGTCCAAAGTTGCCGCCTGTTCTCAGTCTGAACAAGCAACCAACGACCGACAGAGGAGGAAATTAAATACATTGTTACACTGAAACATGTCAGTCTTTTTGGTTAATATATACACAATATAAACCCGTGCTTGTCGTAGGAGTCGTCAGACTCGCTGATGCATCTCAAGGTATCCAGTTTCGAAGATCGACGCTCATAATATTGGAGTATCTGTTATTTACAGACCGTCGCCATATAGCTCGGGTATTGCTGAGTGCTGGGTTAAACACCAAGGAAAGAAACAAGCAAGCTTACAGTCTAAGTTTACACAGGAAACCATATTCAAACACGTGAATAATTACATGTTCATTGTAATCATGCATTCTGATTGGTTGAATTGGTCACGTGTTATTGGATTCATTTCCCAAGGAATGTGAAAATCATATGCCATCCCTATCGACGCTACTTTCACCACGTTTCCCGGAGTATCCCATTTACTCGCGTGGGAATTGCCTTCTGTTTACACGTGTCATTCATGCACAAGACATTTTAGCTATGTTCAAATATGTTTAGGATCACGCAAACCACTAGGGGTGGTTATTGCAGAGAATTTTCATATTGCGATATATTGCGATGCAGAAACATATATTGCGATATGTATTGCAATATATTGCAAGGATTATTTTTTTAACAAAAACTACTTATAATCGAATTAATGCTTGATTATAAAGCAAAAGCACAACAAAATCACTATGATTGATTAACCTTTTCTAAAAACTTTTAATCATGACAAAATAAAAATGTAAGTAACATTTGGCACTAATGAAACAGGGAAAAGAACAATTCAAAAAACGGAAATATCCGAAGATTTCCGTGTGTTACGAAGTTTTCCGAATGCTTGATAAAATACCGGTTTTCGATCAGCGTATCGCAATACGTATCGTTTTCATGTCTGAACCGGTAAATGCCGGTAAACCGGTTATATTGCGCAGCCCTACAAACCACCATCGATACCTAAAAAAAGCCGGAAAGGAATGAATTTTTTTTTGTTTCGCTCAGATGGCCCACACAGATTTTGTTTGCTTGTTTAGCGTCACACCCAGCAATACTCCATCAATATGACGGCGGTCTGTATATAATCGAGTCTAGCACAGACAATCCAGAGATCAACAACATGAGCATCGATCTACGAAAATGGGATACGATGACCAAGTCAGCGAGAGTGACCACCCCATCCCGATAGTCGCCACTTAATTTACGACGAGCATGCTCTGCTATGGACCAATTCTAACCCGGATCTTCACGGGTCCCTACACACATGACATATCTTCGGGGTTTGGCAGTGGTTTCGGTAAATCGGTGTGTCCCCCACCCCCAGGGATTTCATTTATTCCCTAAAATTTAAAGAGATTTCATGAAATTACTGATTTTCATGGTGTTCCATTACATATAGTTCCTGATAGGATATCAGTGAATGAGTGAAATTAATGTTTGTAGCTTAAAACGTATAAAAAACTTTACAACAACTTACTGTTAGGTCAAATTTCATTCCTCAGTTCTTAGGAGTTATAAACTTTTACAATTAACACCCTGAAAATGAAAACCCATCGTTGTACAGGTATTATCAGCTTCGCTTCCGTCTTAACACAGAACTGTTTTAGGGGAAGTAGTCATTGTCTGAACATCAGGCTAGAAGTGGTCATCAGCAACCCATGCTTGTCGTAACGGGCGACAAACGGATGGTCAGACTCGCTGACTTGGTTGACACATGTCATCGTATCAGAATTGCGTACTTCGGTGCTCATGATGTTGATCACTGGATTGTCTGGTCCCGATTTGATTACTTACAGCCCGCCACCATAAAGATGGAATATTGAAATGCGGTCTTAAAGAACAACCAAACCGAACCAGTATCTGCAATAACGTCAAATACTAATGAAATAAAACCCAGTTAATGACTGACCTGTCAGGAGATACAAGTGTATGGCGTGGACTCTCGGTCCAGTGTCAAACCGCTCTGATCGCTCGCAAACTTTGAACAAACCATTGCCCCTTATCAGAGTACATAAGAGATGGCCTAACACTGCTCCGTCCTAAAGTTTCCTCAGACTTTGCTATTTCTTATGACAATTTAATCCTTCGGTAAAAGGAAGGTATATTGAACCATCTTTAGAACGAATATATATTGATCATTCGGTAAAGCAAACATATATTGATCATTCGGTAAAGCAAAAATATCGATCATTCGTTAAAACGAAGGTATTTCGAGACATCGTTAAAACGAAGGCACTTGAGTGGAAATCTCAGTGACACTATGTTCATACATTGTTAAATAAGTCCTTGATTGTTCATTGAGAGATTACTTATCAATCATTACATCACTGATTTGTTCATAATTCATTGAATCCTCACTGACCGTTTTTTATAGATCTCTGATAGTCAGTCGCGTGTTCAATTACAGTTTATGTAGAACTTACCCAACCTCAGTTGTCTACTGGTGCCATAAGCATTCATAAGTCAATAAATCCTAGACTTTCGAATGCTTTTGGGCAGAGTGCTGGGTGTACCGCCTCTTTGTACCATGGGGCGATGGGGAAGCCTAGTGGTTAAAGCGTTCGTTCGTCACACCGAAGATCCGTGTTCGATTCCCCAATGTGTGAAGCCCATGCCGGGCGTCCCCTGTCGAGATATTGATGTAATATTGCTAAAAGTAAATTAAATTAAACTCAATCACTCACTCACTCTTTGTACCACGAAACGCCATGTCAGCTGGAGGGGGGGGGTGGGTGTGGGTGGGGTGGTTGGGTGTCTACCTTTCATGGTGGCGATATTATATTTTGACATTAAAAATATTTTTCGAACCAAAGTGAGGGATGTACGTTGCCAGCCTGTGCTCGCCTTGCTCGCATATAGAAAGACTGGTAGTTTTTCTCTGTTGCGCAACCTTAGCTGCTCTACAGTTTGCCTGTCTAAACCATACGCTATGATGGGATACTCCACACTACTGACTTTGACCTTGACATCACAACAACGAATCAACACACTACACCCGAGTGATTACAAGCAACGTACCCATATCTTTTCACACGTGATCCCATTCAGGCCTTTTATGCAGCTGTTAACAAACATGTTTACGCCGCGGTGAGACGTTTTTGAATGTCGGAATGTACAATGTACTGAACTGAATACAATAGGTAACCGAGAGCTGGTGATTTGAATGAGGTAATATTTTCTTTCGTAATATTAGTGGTGTGCAGAGTATTCACACAAAATGGCATAACGTTTTTTGGGATATAACAGCATATTCAAACGGTACCACTTGCGCTTAAAGTATTAAAACCGCTTGAGGTGTATCATATATGCCTGGTGTGACTTCAGTAAGAACGCCATGTACCTGTTCCAAACAAACACCCACGTACCTTCAACCACTGGGTACAGTATGTGAAGCCCATGCCTGCTGTCCACCGCAGGAATGTTACTAACAGCGCCCCAAATCCACCTCATTCAGTACCTTGAAATATAACGAATTTAATCTTACCTATGAGAACGTGACCCCACGTGACCACTGTACTATGTCCTCGACGAACACCCGAGGGTTTGTACAAGTCTACATACAAGTCCCGATCACGGATACAAATCTCGATCACGGATACCAGTCCCGTTCACGGATACAAGTCCTGACCGCAAACAATACTGTGACGCTCTTTGTGGTCTAACCATGTATGACAGTAAACATTAAATTACAATGTCAAAAGTTATTCTTGCCTTCAGTGCATATAAATATGAGCGGAGTGAGAGGTTGAATGTTGTTTTTTTACCTGACAGCACATGTGTTCGTGTCACCGGTTATGTGTTCACGCCCAGTTTCTCCATATTTTCATTCAGTGTTTCACGTCTTGAGGAGCTTGGCTTTCTGCATGATTCCAGCCATACATATATACATACATACATACATACATACATACATACATACATACATACATACATACATACATACATACATACATACATACATACATACATACATACATACATACATACATACATACATACAGACATACATCAAACATATACTCTCTCAAAAAAGAAACGCAACCCCTATCTAAATATCTGACATCATTTCTAGAATAAAGATGGTGAATGTAAATGAGAATTTTCTTCAAAATACTGTTAATACGTTCCCATCTGATCAGTATAAGCTCCCAAACGGAACCATTTTCACACATGATGACCTTTGTATCCGTGTTATTTGAGAAAGTGCGAAATTGTCATGTACAAAATTCTAAAAGCCTGTTGCACGTGCAAATCGTTGAAAACACAGTTCATGTAGAGGGTTTTAAAAGCACGCGTAGTTTGTAATTTTTTCTCTCATAATTTGCTCTGCAAATCAAGTTCGAAAAATGCCCCCGTTTGAGTACAGCAAATCGAAATATTGCCATTGGTCGCATTGAGGCCGGGGAAAGCTTTGGAACAGTTGCCCGTCATCTAAACGTACACAAAACAACAATCTCACGACTTTGGAATCGTTACACACAGTTCCATGCAATTGAAGATCGTCCCAGGAGCGGTAGACCTAGGATCACCACACCGGCTCAGGATCGCTTTATTCGACTCAGCCACCTACGTAATCGGCATGCCACACCCACTATCACTGCAACACAGGTGCCAGGTTTGAGGAGAGTATCGGCCCAAACCATCAGGAACCGTTAACATGAGGCAAATTTACGTGCAAGAAGACCAGTTGTTGGGCCCGTCTTGAAACGCCAACATCGACGCCAACGTCTCAGGTGGTGTACTAACGTAAGGAGATGGACCCTAAGAAACTGGAGAAGAGTCTGGTTTAGTGACGAGTCTCGTTTTCTTCTTCAACGACGTGACGGTAGACAACGTGTCTATAGACGAGCAAATGAACGTTTTGCACCGAACTGCGTTCGACAGGTCGACAGATTTGGAGGAGGAAGCATCATGGTATGGGGAGCCATGTCTTATAACCAACGGTCAGACTTGGTCATCATTCGTGGCAATTTGACGGCACAACGGTACATTGATGAGGTCTTACAGCCACATCTTCTGCCGATAATCGACCAACAGAGGGAGTTGTTTCAACATGACAATGCCCGCCCTCATACAGCTCGTGCAACAGTGGCATTCCTACAGAATTCAAACGTCAACGTGATGCCGTGGCCCTCCAGATCGCCAGACATCAATCCTATCGAACATCTGTGGGACCAGCTGGATCGTCGTGTTCGTGCACGTACACCACAACCACACACGTTGGTTGAACTGGCCGCAGCACTCCAGGAAGAGTGGAGAGCAATCCCCCAGGAAAACATCCGCCGTCTGATTCGTTCTGTTCCGAGGAGGTGCACTGCTGTGATTAGAGCTCGTGGCTCTACAACGAGATACTGAAGACAACGCCCCCTAGCGTAAATTGAGAGTTCGATACTGACCTGCATTAACTGTTACCTTATACCGTGCTGACCTAAGGTTCACCATGTCAAATTTCATGGCATTATCTTTAAAAATACAAATGTAATAACCAGTTAAAATTGATATAAACATTACCAAAAAAAACAGGGGTTGCGTTTCTTTTTTGAGAGAGTTTACATACAGACATACAGCAGGCATGCATGCATGCAGGCAGGCAGGCAGGCATGCAGACAGACAGACAGACAGATATGCAGACAGACAGATAGACAGACAGACAGGTTCACGGCAAAGACCGTTTCTCCACATACATACATCGAGTCCCATTTCTAGTGTACACCGCCGTAGCATATTCTCTCATTTACCCACACAACATGCAAACAGTATTGTTGTACATATCGGTGCAGGGCACGTTTTGTTATACAACACCGGTTGTATGACGTCATCAACATACCCGCAACTGTAGGCGTCTCGGCGAAGAGCGACTCCCAGTGTTTATCTCCTACAATGTCTTAATACAGAGATCTGTATTTGTATATCTCCTACCATGTCTTAATACAGAGTTCTGTATTTGTATATCTCCTACCATGTCGTAATACAGAGATCTGTATTTGTATATCTCCTACCATGTCTTAATACAGAGTTCTGTATTTGTATATCTCCTACCATGTCGTAATACAGAGATCTGTATTTGTATATCTCCTACCATGTCGTAATACAGAGTTCTGTATTTGTAGACGTGTTACATATCCTGGAATGATTTGAGGGAATAATTTGACAACACTTGGGTGAGTAAATCGTCAGGGGTAGGCTTGATCTGCTTTGAAAAGAAATAGATAATGTGTATTATGCGGAAGTAGATTACTATATGTGCATTGCATGTATATATCTGTCAATCCTGGCCATGCAACTCTTACCCTCTCATACCATACTACGGTTCATGTTCAATATTTCCGGTGACAGTTTCCTCAAGTGTCAGAGTTAATTTTGATCGTTCTGTTGTTAGCAAATGTCCAATTATAATAAAAGAGGGGAATCCCCTAGTTTCGGTTTCCCCCTACCCGGTGCACCAGTAACATTGTTGACTGTAGATATTGAACCCATATAACACAGTACCCATGCATAAAGTGAACGATCCAAGCTCATCTTAGGGATATGATTGTTATCTAAATGTAATGTAAATGTGCAGCAAGTGAATATGCTGAGAATCATTAGTTTGACACGCGAGGGCGATAATTATGGCTACACTTAAATGGAGACAGAGTACATACTATTTATAGCATTCATGCATACATGCATTCATAGTATTGTTAACGTTAAACCGCCCACAAGCGTGTAGGTGTGTATGCATGTGTAGTTGTATCTGACTGAATACATGGCCATTCATTTCTTGTGTTCCAGATTTAGATGCCTGGGATCATGATAAAGGCATTAAAAAAGGTAGGTGGGTGTACGAGAGGGTAACTATTGAATAATTTATTCAGTAGAAAGACCACAGGCCCAAGTACAACATGAGTGCATATATTATACAAACAAGTGCTTAGCTTCTGTGTTGAAGATATGTGTATATATACATTTATGGTAATGAGCAACGTAACATGAAAGCTTTTTGGTACAGTTTGCATAAAGAGGGATAGATTTAGGTTTGGCAGTTTGAAGAAGATTTATTAGACAATCGTTATTTACATATTGAGTAGTGGGTAAGTAAGCGAGCAAGCTATAAGTGGGTTGGTGTCACGTGTAACGGAGGCCTGAATTATCAATAAAATACACTTAAAATAAACATTACTTGTGTCTCCGTATACCTGTGGTGGTCTACATGAGCAACTCGTGTCGTCTAGATGCTGTCGCCGACAAAGAAGATGGACGCAGACACGTGTGGTGGCAGCACCGACGACATTGACAACAATGATTGTCCTCAGCGTGACGGTACAGAAGAAGCATGCACGCCTCCAGTAGACCAGCAGAGTAAGATATCGTGCTGCCTAATAATGTCGTGTATTGTCGAAGTACATGGTGTACGCCCTCTGATATAATCTTCAAATTATGTTTAATTATGTGAACAAAATCATTTCAAATGTCAGTTGGCGTACAACCGGACTGCACAACCGTCCGCCATATTTAGGTTCTGTATATGAAGAAAAACACAAAGGTTGAAATTAGTTTAGTAAGTGTTTCGGTACTTTCCTTCACCATCACCATAAACTGCATTTCCCTTAACATACTATGGTGATGTACTTGTGTTTTTCAGAAGCTTCCTTAAACATGGATGTGAAAGGGGCCGTACATAGCGATGTGAAAAATAACTACACTATCGGGCAACTGCACGTGCACAAAGGTATGAAATACACGTCAAGTGCTGTTACTAAATAAGCGTTGCCCTATACTAATCTGTCTGTGTCATTTCTCATTATTGCACATATGAGCACATCACATTACATTAAAGCACACTGATGCATTTATTCGTTCAGTACAACACTTTCTAATTCAGTCCGATACAGCACATGAGCGTATACCACAGACGAACAGATCAAATACATTGTACATGTAAATATACCATGCTGTATCACACGCAATAATGCAACTCAACACACCATTTCATTCGGAGGAGAATCCATAAATAATAATATCAGCATGATCTTTGAACACACAACACAACACTGTAGAAGGCACTCCACATGTAGTGGTAACATCATCGTTCTATGGAGACCGGTGAATATCCGGGTTACAATTGATCTTCAGTAACTCATGAGCGAGTGAGTTTAGTTTTACGCCGCACTCAGCAATATTCCAGCTATATGGCGGCGGTCTGTAAATTATCGAGTGTGGACCAGACAATCCAGTGATCACAAGCATGGGTTACTGAAAAATCAATTAAGACCCGGATCGTCACGGGTCCAGTAACCCAAATCTCGTAAGAGGCGACTAACGGAATCGGATGGTCAGGCTTGCTGACTTGGATGACACATGCCATCGTATCCTAGTTGCGTAGATCTATGCTCATACTGTTGAGTATTGGGCTGTCTGGTCCCGAATCGATTATTTAGAGACAGCCGCCATATAACTGAAATATTGTAGTGTGCGGCGCCAAGTTAAACTCACTCACTCACGAGCTATAGAACAGACGGAGATGGAGCACACAGAACAGCTCTCAGCATTTATTCTTCACCTTTAGAGTTACAAATTCTGATGTTTTCATATTTCCTCACATTGACCAAATGAATTTCCCATCCAGATGTAGGTGAACTAGGTTTTAATTTGCAAAGGTAAACCTGTTTTTGTTATTCTAGACAACGCTGTTTTAAGAGTTCTCACGCTTTATGAATAATAGTTTTCAAATCATGTTTCCAGGGACGCAAAATATAATATCGATACTGTTGCAGAATGTAACTTATCTCTTAACGTTACAAAGTAATTCAACAACGTACAGAACTTTTATTTTCGAGGATGTGTCAGACATGTCCCCCTAAAGATACACTTAATTGCCCTGGTTTCCATCTCTTTACACTGAACAGTACACTATCTAGTGCAGGAAGGTAGGACACATAGTATGGTATTTTACCGCCGAGGACCCACCTGCACACAACAATCTTAGCGCTGCAGTAATTGTAAATCCTTAAGATCGTGATCTTAGGTGTTTGGCTATCCACTTGTACAAAGCCAATACTTCTAGGGATATATTGGGATTTTACAAATGTCCCGAACAGTTGTGTAATAATGTCTCAATGACAACCATGGGTGGATGATACAGTTAGGTGCTATATTATCAGGAAATATTTTGAATAATAATCTCATGATTTCATGTCCCTAAATCTGGACACATCTTCCTAATATCAACGTGTAAAAGGGCTCAGTTTGATAATATGTTGTTTTGTTTCAGAAGAACTGCGGAATGACGTCACAATAGATTATGTTCAAGGTGCAGAGCCAAAAATAGACATTTCAGGTGAGTAATAGTTGTCATGACAGTTAGAGACACTTCCGATAAAATTACCAGTGTTTCTAGAACCATCGCCTGTTATAAGAAACATATTTTGCCCCAAAGGTAATTTTCAGTTGCATAGATATTTCAAACATTATCATATGATATGATCGAACAACTGCATCAGGAAATATAACTGTGATCTATTTTCAGTTCCAGCTAAAGAAGGTCAAACAATCATACATGGTAAGCATCACCTTTCCTGTGCTTAAAGCTTATCAAAATCATTGATGGCCAAATGGCAGTATATTATCTATAGTTGTTTCAAAGAGGAAATACCCGTGAAGGTCCGGGTTAGACTTTTGGCGTTCAGTAACCTGTGCTTGTTGTAAGACGCAAATTATGGGATCGGATGGTCAGGCTCGCTGACTTGGTTGACACATATCATCGGTTCCCAATTGCGCAGATCGATGCTCATGCTGTTGATCACTGGATTGTCTGGTCCAGACTCGATTATTTACAGACCGCCGCCATATAGCTGGAATATTGCTGAGCGCGGCGTAAAACTAAACTCTCTCACTCACTCAAAGAGGAAATGGGACGGATGTGTTGAATGACAAAAACAGAATGAAAATACATTAATGGATTATGCCTTGATCAATGTGGCAATTTCAAGCTTGTTGAGGATAAAGCTTCCCGAAACAAACATGCAACATGTGTAACGATTAACGCAAAGGATGTACCCCACGAAGGGTAGTGAAGTTTATTATCCACTTCAAGCCATATGTGATCACAAACACTAGAATTAATGCTTTCGGTCTTATTCTCATGTCACTTCCTATGTTTAATTTTAACAGTTGAATGTACCAAGAACGAGCTGTCTTCCTGTTGCTATAGACACTATGATGGACGGGAACGGCCTTTCAGGTCCATATGGACTTTTGAGAATGTTCCACACGGACTGATTAAATTCATTATGAAGGAGTGTCCTACTTACTTCAAGCTCACTGATGAATTGGAGAAACTGTATCGCAGTAAATTCGAGAAGATGCACAACAAGTCATGTCTAGTTGTGGAATTTCTACATGATACTGAGGAAGATAGAGACAGAATGATGCAAGATCAAGAAAATGTGAAGACGATGTTCATGGAGTTCTTGCATGGTATAGGGAAAGATAGTCCTAGCTGCAGTTTAAACGTTTGCAGTGAGCCGGCAACTGTCAACATCCGTGTTGAAGATGCGAAAAAGATTATTGGTGCAAATCCAAGAGACACAAAATTTACAAATACATCAGATTCGGATTCAGGTTCATTTTTGTGAGTTGATTACTTGATAGTTGATGCTGCACAGCCTACCAATGTTCAGTGAATGTAGTCGTACCGTAGAACGTATTCATGTTTATAAGATATCTATTAAGTGGCTCAGAGCAAAATATTATTTACTAAAACATTCTGGAACGGAAGGTCGCTTGTTTATTTTCGAAAGGAAAGTGTTATTGTGATATAACTTTTATATTTACTCCTTTCTGAGTGCATTAAAAAAGTATTGTTCTTTCATCAGTGATGCAACAGTCGAAATGGTAGCTGCCAATCTGCCTTCAACATCTCTGACTGACGATGCGAAAGCGAAAGAAAGGATTGGTCTCAATCCAGAGGGCACGCGACCCATAAAAACATCAACTTCGGATTCAGAATCAAGTTTGTAAGTTCAACAACTGACACTGCACAACAATTGAATTTTCACTTGATATAGGTTTTCTGGTAGTCGGAAAGCAAACATGTTGTTTCCAACGATTCGTGTTTTTTTCGAACCGAAAGTGTCATTTGGTTACAAGTAATATACTTACAATTTTCTGGAAGCACTAGATAAGCTATACGGGGCGGTGGGGTAGCCTAGTGGTTAAAGCGTTGGCTCGTCACGCCGAAGGCCCGGGTTCGATTCCCCACGTGGGCACAATGTGTTAAGCCCATTTCTGGTGTCCCCCGCCGTGATATTGCTGGAACATTGCTAAAAGCGGCGTAAAACTAAACTCAGTCAGTCAGTCAGATAAGCTATACGCATTCTAAGAGGCTCATCCGAGGTAAGCAGAAGATATAACGTTCATTTTAACAGGCGTCAATCCACTTTTGTGTCTTAACTTAAATTGGATAGTGCCTTCATATGATGTTAAATAGGCAACACTTCAGCAGTCCTAGGTATTTGCATACACTCACAAACAAATAATTGATTGTCACGTGACAGAAACGTTATATCTAGAATGTCAGTTTGAGGTCAAGTTGTTATATAAGTACATTTCCCTTGCAGTTTGAAATGTATTCATTTTAAACCTTCAGAACCGAAACGTGCATATTTTCACGAAATCATCAGCTGCCACTGTGACGTATATCCCTCTAGTTTTGTTCCTTGGTAGCAAATCAAAGATACGATTTTAGCCAGGCCAAATTTAGCGACACCAGGATTTGATACATTTATCACACTTGAGATTACATGTAAACTGAAAAACAAACAAACATAGAAACATTAAAACTGTTTTTGTATTTTAAAACAGATCTTACACTTTTACATATTAAATCTATTAGTGTATATGGCTATTTCAACAGTTAAACGAAAGTGCGACACACGGCATTGGCGCCTGTTAGATGGAGAATGAATGAAAAGCGAACATTTTAAAGGGTAAAGTAAATCTTCGTTGACCTTTTTAGCTAAAACTACTTCTGTAACTGCCTCAACACAAACAAGTTATTTTCGGGAAGGAGCAGCAACAGTGTTTGTCATGAACATCCAGTATGACCAGTGAAATTTTCATTTTGTTAACTGGAGTCAAAATTACGCCTTTGTATGATATTCTTCGAAAACGGTCACTTCCTTTGTTTTCGAACGAAGAATGATATTATGAGGTGCATTATATACTTACTCTTATCTGACAGCTCTAGAAATGCCATGCTCTTTTCAGAATGTTATCACCAAGATCCTCAGACACAAAAAGAACTCATGCACAACCGAAAGTGTTGGTCAAAGGTAATTAATTTTCTAAAAGTCTTTTAACTATTGAAATGGGGGAATATTAATGAAGATTTTCCATGTGTAGAATCAAGGTCCCGAGTATAAATGCTGAATGGTCTTCACGCACCATAGCCTAACCTGCATGATTAATTTCAGCAAAAGGCGCTTTAAAGAGGTTGGATAATTTCAACACGTCCTGACTTCATTCAGCATGCTCCTCATATTAGGAGTATTGTATCTTAGTATCATTAAATATGCCATAAATATCTACTGTACATATATCTCCGATTCGTTAATGTTGAACGTTTACTATTATTAGTTGTTTTTATACAGTCAGTATGTATTTTTCTCTCTGGAGATCATGTGTATGAAAGCTAAATCTCTATCAATGCATCATCAACATTCGTTTTCTAACTTTAATATGAACACAGATATTGCAAAAAGGGTAACTGGAACATAATTACTTCACACTAAAATGAGCAGATTATTTTCTGGCGTATATTGCTTCAACTCTAGACATTATAATTCAAGTTATATGAACATTTTTAACAACACGATTTTGTGTGTTTTAATCGCATTTAAATATGTAACAGCCTATCTTTCGAAAAACGCCCCCCACATGGGCACAATGTGTGAAGCCCATTTCTCGTTTCCCCCGCCGTGATGTTTCTGGAATATTGCTAAAAGCGGCGTAAAACCAAACTCAATCAGTCGAAAAACGCCACTTCAAAATATCAACTAAAACGGTTGGTCCATTATATGGTTAGTGGATGCGTGTAGGTGGGATAAACTATCTGGAAATATAATTCTGCTTTGATAAGTAGCAATGCTAATGGGATAGCCATAGCTTCTAACGGGAGGGGTTGGGTACAGGTGATCGTGAAAGGAGGGGGGTGGGGATTACCCGGTTCTCAAATGTTGTACAATGCATATAATACAGCAATATGAGAAGGTACTGGGAGATGGTTCCATAAATGATACTTTTCGTAGCTATTGTAAACTGCCCTGAGTTTGGTATTTATTAAATACTAGTATCTTTTCCTAGCATTTCTAGCCTTTCTACAGACATCACTATACCATTGCGTATATATGTACACATTGTCGGGGTGGAGGGACAGACTTTGCAGGAATATAATTTAATCCATCTAAAATGATTTTATTCGTTGGTTTCACATTAATTTTCGACTCGCTGTGCGCATGCGTAGAGCGTGTAAAAAATATCCTCCGGCCATATCCGGTTTGGTCGTATTAGCGATATTGTAAACACGCTCTAAATAAATGCTGTATAAAAATTATTTACGCGTGACAACTGTTCATAGTTGAGTACATACAGCAATTTGCCTATGCTTTTCAATATTTGATGTCCTATTTTGGTGGCATTGCATCAGAGATGTGTTTTTTTACTTGTGAGAAGGGGTAGCCGGCGGCTCTCGGCTAGAGAAAGGGGATGTGCAGGAAGGACGGTGGACGGGTGGTGGTGAGATGTGTTTATACAAGAGCTTGTTAACAAACGTTAAGCTATTTATTTAACTGATTCCGGTCCCTTCCATTCATAAATAAATTGAGATTAGTTAAATTCGACATAAAACCATATATTTGTTTTAATTTTGCTTCCTTTAGAGTGCGTTTACACTATCGGTAATCTTACGACCAAACCGGATATGGCCTGAGGATATTTTTACACGCTCTGCGCATGTGCACAGCGAGTCTAAAATTAATGTGAAACCAACGAATAGGGTCAGTTTTATCAACATAAACATGTTTATGTTAAGAACTGAGTATATCCCAATTAAATTTCAATTAGGAAGAAAGTGAATTTAGCTAGCTAAGGCAGTAACAGTTTGGAGAATAATAGGACAATTGTCACTGCCGAATGAATCAGCATGTACTTACCATAACGAGACTATCATAATCAAGGTCTTTTCCTTATTTTTGGCAACTTGATAATACACTTAATCAGAAGACAATACATTCAAGCAGTTTACTGTCAGTGGTCGTGCCTACAATATTGACTAAACTGAGGGGCAAAAGAAACGTCCCCGATCATTTTTTTATCATAAAATGATACAAACACGTGCAATTCAATGTTGAAATGTTTGATATAATTTTTGAACATATTATGCAGACTGTCATTACAGAACAATTGAAACAATTTGCTGTAAGTAGAGTTTTTGTGACGTTTTTCACAGGAGGTTCAAATGTCCGGTTTTCGATCATGACAACACATGCACATCAGTACTGACAGAGTGTCTTTGAGTGTCCAACTCCTCAGTAGCGAGTGTGTCCACCTCTTGCAGCGATACATGCTGCCACACGACGTCGTGCAGAGTGCACAAGACGTCTGATCACGTGATCTGGGATGCGACGCCATTCTTCCTGTAGAGCTTGAGCCAAAGCGTTTCTTGTCTGTGGGGGATGTTGACGTTGCTTAACCTGACGTATTGAAGTGATGAATTCGAACAGTCGAGCATAATTTTTATACTGTACTTTCATACGGGTATGTTTCCACAGAAGCATGCAAAAAACGTGAATAAAAGCAATTTTCATGCTTACAAAAAACTCCACGTGGATTTTCTTTCTGTGAGACGTGGGGATGCGTTCGGGAGATGTGTTCCTAAATAAATTTCCGTCATAACGAAAACAGAAGAAATGTTTTTTACAATTTTACTTTGGGGACGTTTCTTTTGCCCCTCAGTTTATAAATCATAAACAGCAATATATCACATGTATAATGACGATAATAAGATTGCGTGAAATATATACAAACTAAAGGAGAAGCTATATAGGGGATATAGCTATTATATAGAACTGAGCACACTTTCATGTCTCGAGAGAGCATTATGTCATGTAAGTGACAATGAATATGAATATGCTTGGGTTACTACCTCTAAACTCAGTTGCGTAATTCATTAAATGTTAATAGGTATATACACAACGTATACATACAAATTAAGTAAAAGACATGTCTTAAACACACAAATTGTTGTGCATAATCATTCATATAATTTCCTTCAGAAGCCTATTTCAATTCGTGCTTTTCACAATCTTCACCTCAAACATAGCCGAGCTATTTAGTGTACTGTAATCGGCCCGTAACCTACCGAATATGAAACTATTACGACTTAATCAACTGCCAGTGTACAACAATTGCAACAGAATGAAATCACAAATTAGTTGATGACTGACCGGCTTTTTAGTTGGCAAGAGGTTTTGAAAATACATTTATATGAACCTGTCATTTATTTCTATGTAAATATGAAAAGTCGATATACATTGACCATGTTTTCTACATATTGCAGAACCTTCCAGTTTCCTAATTGGTAAGGTTCAGGTGCCATTATCCGTGTTTGTAGATGATATGAATACCCAGTATGTCATACTTTGTTGGCACGATTAGAGAGGCTTATTTAATATCTGCCAAGAATTCTGCTGTAATTGTAATCAACAGATACTGTTATTTCAGTACATCATATTCAATATTTTAATCTAGTCTCATAAGATGATTTTTTAAACATCGTTGAGATTAGTTGGTAATCATGGGAATATGTAACATAACTGTGGGTCCAAAAAGGGGACTTAAAAGAATATGTGTTGCAGATGTCTTTGGGACTTAAAAAGGGTTGTAGGTTACCTTTGAACAATGTCCCACTAACAAGCTTCGACTGCTGCACTGGGAATACATATGTAAATGTAACTAGTTTATAAGATAAGAGGGAAAATATGTAAAAGTATTAGTGATCATCAATACACAAAATTGGTAGAGTCAGAAAATTGGCTTTGATGTCAACTAGAAGAATGATATCTAGGAAACCCTGGCCAAAAGCACCCATTGAATTATCGGTGGGTGCGACTACTGACATTTTTAGCAGAAACTGGATTTGGGGAATGTTGAAAGGCCTGTGTGCTGCCGTCTTTGTCGTTTGTACTGTGTTACCTTTTCACGTTTTACGAGGTTAATCTTTTCAAATCCGAACAAGCTGTTGCTGAGATCAACCAAAATGAGCAGATGGTACATTATTCTACTGAGTCGCAAAAGATGATTAAACATTGATCGCATAGGATGGTAATCATTGGAATATGTGATGTATCTCTTGGTCTGCAATAGGGGACCTTTAAAACTTATGTGTTTCAAATGGTCTTGACACTTCGCCTCTGACCAAGGTTGTACGAGCATGCTTCCATTGCTGTGTTAGGAATGCCTATTTACATGTAAATACTTAGATATGCAGATAAGGAGGAGACTATAACAAAGTGTTTGTGACTGTCAAAGTAACATCGAACAAAATAGATTGCCACTAAACTCCTATGTCTGATTTAGCGTGTATATCGTCATGTAGATCACATTATTGACCCCAAAGGTGTCCCCGTAACTCCAAGTAAATTCTGTTACACTGAAGGATGGGAGTCCGATTTTACCTTACGAATCACTGACTGAATATGTGCGATCCTTTAGTTTTTCAACAGGTAATTTGTTGCGACATGATCAACAACATAGGCCTGATACTTTACACAAGAAAAGTAACTGTTACTAATTCATTTATGCGATATATTATGAAACATACTTTCACAAATAGATGTCCCAATGTCTTAAGCTAAGCAAATGTGTAACATGTATAGTTCTAAAAAGACACTTGACCTGTTGTGGCTAGATATACCAAACGAGCTACCACTATGAGCTATCGCTTGTAAGAGGTTTTGTGGAGAGTATCAACACCTCTCCTCTTGGTTCACACGGGTGTCTGATTTTGTATGTATTAGTATATTTCAACTATTTACGAGGATATATGAAGAAGACAATAATACAGTTAAGAGTGTGCATTCATCTTATGGACTAACCTGTATTGATAAAAGGTGAGGTGAGGTGAAATTGGGTTTAACGTCGTGCTTGAGCATATTTCGCTCATATCACGAAATGACGTATGTGCGGCTGCTTGTACTAGCCCAGACTGAAGCTGGTTTTATAGTGCTAGCCCACTGAGATACCATGCCGCAGTGAAGCATGAATACCCCACTCAGACACAGTATACTGACTCCGAGCCGACCATTCCTTGTTGTACCCATTAATACCGAGCGCCAGGCAGAGACCAACAAGTACCATATTTTAACGTCTTTTGGTATGACGCGGTCGGGGATCGAACCCGCGACCTTCCGCTGTATTGATAAACCATAACATTGACATGTTAAAATGAACACACCGTTCTGACTGGTTCGTTTGTGTCAACAAACGATTGCTAACTTTATGTACCCATTCGATATTTTCATTGAAATTACAATGTCTTTATTCATATTTTGTACAAAACTGCGTTTTTCTGCATACAAAATATATATTTACATATCCCACCCTCCCACTTCAGCTTCACCCGTGAACATCGGGGTTAGAATTGGTCTTCAGCAAGTTATACTTATACATTAAGCAACATGTAAACACACCCTACTCTTTCGTACGGTTGGTGCTGGCACAACCGCTCGATAACAGCAAATAGCGTTACTTGAAAAAAACGTCACGTTAATTTCTGGTAAAACGGCTGTGTAAAATTAAATCGACCACCAATATGGTGAAAAACTGAGGATACTGTACATCACCTCATTCAGTCATAACCCAAAAGGTTTTGACAGATTAAATAATCAGAGTTCTTTAATAATTCTATGTTACGGCGAATGTTAGAGATTCATTTCGTTTGGTTTTGACAATAATGCGTAGTTTATATTGGGATTATGTGTTACCTCAGACCCCCAAGACAGCACAGAATAGTTCAGCATGATATGGAATATTCTTGAAATCATTAATGGGGCTAGATCATACCTCAGTTTTCACACATTTCAACATGGCAAGTGGTTGTGTACATCAATATTCCACACAAGATATCCAAGCCCTATTTGTGAAGTGTTGTTGTTCAATAATTAACACCACCAATGATTTTGTCACTGCCGTTTCTACACCACCAATGCAGATCTAGTGCTATTGAATTTTCGACTGCTACCCTATAGTGTACTGCCAGTGTTCTGAAACTGGAGTAGTGTGAGTTAGTTTTTAAACCTAGTTAATGTTACAGTACAACTGTTATTTGCATAACCTTCCTTACCTGTTTGTTGGTTTCACACAGGGTTATTTTGAAAAAAAGATGTTTTTTTCTTTTAGCTATTGTTTCGCGAGACAACTGCATTGAAATTTCATTGAAATTGCATGGAAGTGTGTCAAACTGTAATACATATCGGACTTTCAGGTTGAACAGAGTCTATGCGCACATTTGGTTCACATTTAAGACGACTGTTATTCACAGGCGTTTAAACTGAGCTGATTGACCAGATACTTACGTGATTCATTGTCATTAGCTTAGCATGTTGTTACAACAGAGCGAAGCAGGAGCATTAAATTATGTCAATAAATCTCTAGCTGGTTGTGATCATATTTATGAGAACAATCATTAGTAGCCTGGAAATCAACACTTACAAACTAGCATTCGACCTTACCACATTCTAATGACAGTTGGTTAAAAGTTAAGTGTCAGTCATGTGATATAATAATTGTTTATGGTGTGTGAAACCATGATTATCTTCTTCACAGGAAATCCTATGAGCTTTCTGCACAGGGAAATTCGAATGGTACTTGTTGGAAGGACTGGAGCTGGTAAAAGTGCAACAGGGAATACAATAATTGGAACTGGAAAGGCAGCAATGGTATTCAAATCAGGATTAAAGGCAATGTCTAATACAACGACATGCAAACAGCATTGCTTTAAACGCTTTGGGTACGACTTGCAACTTGTTGACGTCCCAGGATTGTGTGACACAAACAGATCACATGAAGACATCAAGAAAGAGGTAATGAAATGTATGGGTATGTCATCTCCTGGAATACACGCCATTCTTTTCATCATTAGACTTGGTAGAATGGGTGAAGACGACAAAAATACAATGGAAAGGTTCCTGCGATGCTTTGGAAAAGAAGCTAAAAGATTCGTCATTGTTGTATTTACTGGGAAGGATGACTTGGAAGAGGCAGGTGACTCCATTGACAACTATGTTAGAGATATTCCAACGACACTGAAGCAGTTTCTATATGAAACAAGTCTTCGTTTTATGGCTGTCAACAACAGAGGGACGAATGAAGAAAAGGAGAAATTTACCCGAGAATTAATAGACAAGGTCAGACGCATGTTTGATGCAAATGGCGGCCAGTGCTACACAAATGAGATGTACGAGAGATGTGAAGGTGATCTTCAAGAAGCTGAGAAAAAGGAAAAACTTAAAGGGAAGAGGCAGAAAGAATTCGAGGATAAACTCAAACAAGAAGCTGCTGCTTTTGAAAAACAGTTACAGAGCCAGCGTCTTCAAATGCAAGAAATGGAGAAAAAACTTGAACAAGAACGAAAATCAAGGGAACAAAAAGATGATGAGCAGTTGAAAGAACGTCTTAAAGCCATAGAACTGAGGCAAAAGGAAGAAGAGGAAAAGAAATGTTTGTAAGAAGAAAAGAAACGACAGGCAGAACAAAAGGAAGCTCAGGAAAACACGAGAAGAGAGCTTGAGAGAATAAAAGATGACCAGAGAAGACAGATGGAAGACTTTGAGCGTAGGAAAGAAGAACTGCGTCTTGAAGAGATCCGTAAACAAATGCGAGATAAGTTAGAATAAGGCAACATGGGTTTCATACGAACTGCTTGGCAAGCAGTAAAGAATGTTGTGTCTTCACTTTGGTAATGACAGCCATGTCTGAAAGAACAGCAAGATATATCAAGTATCTCATTGGTCAATTTCCACGTGTGCCATTATTGCGGGAGATATGAAAAATGTGTTTTCCCGTCTATGTGGAAATTGACCCATGAGAGCTGTCACCGAGTCAATCAGAGAATTACGGAAACTGTCGATGTTTACCGAGGAGAGGCCAGACGTTTGGTCAAAAGAATTACCTATAGGCTCAACACAATGTTCTTGTGAAACGTAAGGTTTGATTGAACCGCACGTTAAGATAGTCGGGCTGTCCTGTTTTCGATCATTTTTTTAGCATCGGGAGTGTCACCCCTTGTGTATGCAATTAATTAGTGTAGCGGTAGAATTTCCTAAAATCTTTATTTCTTCACCGATTTTGTTCAATTTTGAAATGTATATTAATCATAACAATACAAGCATTATGTGAGTGAAAAAGTATATATTTGTATTATAAAGAAATTATCGTCCAAACAGTGATTCGAACCCCTGTGCTGTCTTTTCTCTGACGGTAGTTAACCTTTCCTATTGTTCAGCAAAACAATCTGTTAGCGGTTCATTCGCTCTATTTTACCATTTTAGGGTCTGAAGCTGCAGGAAATGTTTAGTCTCAGAAATGAGGAACTGAGTTGAAACATAAGTGACTGCTACAGTTCCCTACTTTAACTTGTACCAGATATTCCTGTCTTTACAGGTTAAGGTGTTTTAGCCTTTGCTTGTGTTCGCGACTGGAGCATTGTGATACAGAATTCGCACACGGTTTTCGTGAACACGTGTTCTTGTTTATTTGTATGTTTTGTTTGTTTGTGTAGTGTCGCACTCGGTAATATCACCAGGTGATTATAGTATGTACATAATCGTGTAAAATCAGACATTTTATGTCTGCACCATGAAGCAGTGAAGATCCGGGTTAGACTTGGTCTTCAGCAACCCATGCTTGGTGCACGAGCCGACTGACAAGCTCAATGACTGCGCTGACGCATATTGAGTAGATCGTTGCGTGTGTGTGTGCACTTGTTTGCTAGTTTGTGCGTGCGTGCGTGTGTGTGAATTATCTGGGTATAGCTGGGCGTTTCATTGTCCTGAAAGACCTTACATTTGTTTAGTACTTGGCTAATGTGAATTTTGTGTAGCTTGGTGTGTACACAAAACCTTCTGGAGCAGACAAGTGTCGTTATCAATAACCGTTTGACATGTTCTGCAACTGTTCCTTGGTAAAATTTACCTTTTCGTCTGTGTCGTCTGCCTTTTAGCCCTTTTGCCAAGGCTTTGCATTAGACGTAGCTCAGTTGTAGCTAGATCTGTAGAAGATGTGATATACTATCTTCTTGATTTTTGTGTCTCATGATAGGCTCTTGTCCTAGAAACAATATGAGAAAGGGACGGACATAACACTACAGACTAGAAAATCACCGCATTACCAGTGGAAGACTTACGAGGGATATGGGACTTCAGACGGTCAGACTCGGTGTGCAACTGAAAGAAAATAATCTGCTGCGCATTCAAAACTGTGCTCTTTTTTCCTCTTTTTTCCCTGTGATCACAGAGCATTCTTGGAGACATGACAAACTAAAATTAACAATATAAATTTCCAGGATCGATGTGAAACCAGGAAGTGTGACCAACTCATGACAAGGATCAAACTGGAAATAATGTGACACGAACAGCAAAAAAACACAAGAAGAACTTGTGTTTGTATTGCGGACCTAAATGTGAACACTCAACACGGATTTACCTCATGGAAGCGTTGGTAAATATACCAACTTTCTACACTCTTGTAAATCATGAAAATAATGCCTAACTGTGTACGCCCTGACCAGTAAGTATATCTCTAACACTTTTAGGCTGTAATGTACACCACTATTTTATCTAATAGAAATGGGTATCAGTTTATTGTATGATACAAGCCAGATGTTCCGTCAATTCATAACCCTACAAATTTATATGTACGTCTTAAAGCTAATTCCGTGGACAAGAAGCTTTATTTCTCTCGATTTTATTATTCAGTTAGCACAGTATGATGATATCAATAGTGTATAAAGTAGCCTAATACTGTTTAATACAGACCAAAGGAATGTGCTACACTATTCTGATGTTCAGATGAAGCCGGATAACTAAAACTTTCCATACCTCTCGTAAATAATCCTTTCGTCGTTGGGAAATATTACCTTTTTGTTTCATGATATAAGTAGCTTGTATTATATCAGCACACCATTAGAGTGTAAAGTTGCTTCATAGTGCTCAATATAAACTTGATGCACTGTCTTATACAAGCCAGTCGATACATCGAGCCATGATACAACCTTCTATGTCATTTCGTAAAGGAATTCTTGTTGCTAAAAAACATCTTTCTCTTGGTTCTATAGCGCTGCTTCATACTGCGTAGTATATGCATCACCAAACTAATGGTATAGTTAAGAAGTATTATCTCCCTTGTTTCATGACACAGTTTGTATTATATCATGCTACCAGCAGTGCATACAGCTGCTTCATACCGTGTAATTCAGACCATAGGTTTTTGCATGGTATAATCCAGATGTTCCGTTGACGGATAAAAATTGTGTAAAACTAATTCAGTGGATAGGCAGTATTGCTATACTACAGTACTAATTCTTTGTAAGGTTTCTTACACATTGTTTAATAGAGGCTGTAAAACTATCTTTGGAAAATGTTGAATGCAGGAGCGCGAGTAACATCCCAGTATGGAGGAACCTTGATCCTAACCTGGACCTGGAAAACTATAAGAATATCAATAACCCCAATGCACGGAAGTATGTCTTAGAAAAAATAGAAAAATATAACCTAAGTGATGCTTGGCGGCAAATACATGGTAAGAAAAATATACACGATAGCGGAAGAATCTTAGACAACAGGCTCGTCTCGATTATTTCTTAGCATCAGAAAATAGCTTTAATATAACTCTGGAGTCTATTATCATCCCTGGATACAAATCCGACCATTCCGCCATCACACTATCACTCTCAAATAACCTTAGCAAACAAAGAGGAAAAGGATACTGGAAATTTAATGCTTCGCTGTTATACCATAGGGAATTTATGTCCAATGTTCAGAGGATCTTACGAGAAACAAAAATTGAATATGCAGATAATGACCAAATCGACAACAATGCTGAAGATATTGATGACTTGGATCTTAAGTTAAAAATCTCTAACGGTTTATTCTCAGAGACATTACTTATGGAAATACGAGGCTACTGTATATCATTTTCATCATTTATAAAAAAAGATAAATGTAACAAACTCCAGAACCTAGAAAACAAAGTAGCTGAAATTGAAGATGACATTAGAAACGATTATCAAAGTATAAATGAAAAGACACTTGGAGACCTCTCAAGACTTAAAAAAGAATTTGAAAATATGAAAGAAGAAGAATCCAGGGGACACCTTATAAGAACACGTCTTAGGTTGTATGAAGAAGGAGAAAAACCTTCAAATTATTTTTGCAATTTGGAGAATAGAGATTATACAAATAAACTAATCAATCAAGTGATAAATAGTAATAACTGTATAATAATTGATGGAAAAGAAAAAAGAAATGAACTGAGATTTTTTTTATGAGACACTATATGCAGAGTAAACTGAAACCGACCATGAGATGGCAGAAAACATATTAGAAACAATAGATAGTCAGGAAATGAAGGAAGATGTATTTGACAGACTTGAAGAGCCAAATACACTTAAAGAAACTGCGACAGCCGTAAAAAGCATGAACAATGATAAGAGCCCATGAATTGATGGATTTCCAGTAGAGTTTTTAAAGGTTTTTTTTAAAGATATAGGAAAATGGATTTTTAGGTTTATTTCAGAAGTCTTTGTGGAAGAATCCCATACTCTGATTATAAAGCCATCATTAGAACATACATCCGCGATCTAATGCAAAAGAAGTGGGACACCCAAGTAGGTATTAATAAATTACATGCAATAAAACCCTACATTGGTTACACCTACTTGGGTTGTCAGTCCAGATTTGAAGAGGTCATTATTCGACGATGTTGCATTGGCCATACCAGATATACTCATGAATATTTATTGAAAGGCAAAGATCCTCCGTTTTGTATCCCTTGTGATGAAAGGATCACAGTCAAACATGTCTTGCTTGACTGCATTGAATATTCCATCACAAGGGATAACTATTTCAAAGTAAACACTATGAAGGATCTTTTTAATAATGTTAGTTCTCATTTAATTATTGCATTTTTAAAAGAATTAGATCTGTTAAGTGATTTGTAAATAGATATATATTTTATTATTGGAAGTTTGAATTAGTAGCACAGATTGTTAGTGGCTGTATCCTCGAGGGGGGTTAAAGTACTGTAAAATTATTGTCCTCCTGAGAGGGTACGTAAGTCCCAAAACATTCAACGTACATTTCAACTTTCCGTTTTTTATTCGTAGAATATGTGTAATTTTAATGTATGGCTAGATATATCTCAATTACTAACAGCTGGGGGGATGATGTAAATCCAGCTAGGGCCCATGCAGGAAGCAAATGTACTGTAAGTCCCCATGGTCCCTAGTATGGTGATCTACCTTCAGTTGTTAGCGATCTATAGCCCATTTTTATATTGTGTTGTCCCCTATAGTTAAAATGTTTTAGATTCAATTACTAGTTTTACATATATATCTGTGATAATCTAGTTATTGTACTGTCCTTCGTTGGCAGAATTTTATAATTATACTTAAATTGTTGATATATTTATAACTTGCTTTAGTCACGATATGGCTGAAATATTGCCGATGTGACTTAAAATCTTAACTCACTCACTCACTCACTTTGTGGAAGAAAAGCTATCGGACACTGTAAACAGAGGTGTTATTACTTGCTTACCAAACGCTAATAAAGATAGACAATACTTAAAAAATTGCTGCCCTATCTCGAAATTAAACACCCTTTAATATCACTGCGTGAAGTATCACTGATACTATTAGAAACCTGTATGACATAATATATGAGCTGAGAAATGAGGATATACCAGGCTTGTTACTTCTTTGTAAAATCATTTGATAGTGTTTCAAAACTCATACTCAAAGTGTTAAAGAAATTCGGTTTTTGGACCAAAAATGACAAAATGGATTAGAATCCTCACCAACAACGTTAACTCATGTGTAATTCAAAACGGACGGGGTTGTCGTCAGGGCGACCCAGTGTCCCCATATCTCTTTCTTTTTGTTGCAGAGGTAATCGGAATTATGATTAGAAATAGTGTCCACATACAAGGAATAGCAATAAATAACAAAGAACATAAACTAGATCAATATGCTGATGACACAGAACTTTCCCTCGATGGACCTGAGAAATGCTTAAAGAGTGCTCTACATAAACTAAACACTTTTCACAAAATTTCTGGACTTCATGTGAATGTTGAGAAGACTAACGCAATATGGCTAGGATCCAAGGCAGACTCGAAGGTAACATTATGTGAAGATAGAAAATTAATTTGGATAAATTTCGAAGTATTGGGAATTATTTTAAATTCAAAGCTGGGCAATCTCTGGGTCATAAATACTAGAAAAAGACTAGCAGCAATAAATAAACTACTGGCAAACTGGAGGAGAAGAAAGCTGACCTTAGTAGGTAAGATTATTGTAATAAAATCATTGATACTATCTACATTAGTTCATATATTCTCATCCTTACCACATCCACCAAAAGAATTTGTAAACAACCTCAATAAGATCCTTTTCAATTCTATTTTGGATGGTAAGCAGGATAAACTCAAGAGAACATCTTTGATAAGAGACTATGAGGATGGAAAATTAAGGATGGTAGACATTAATAACTATATCTCAGCACTAACAATATCATTTCTGCGACGATATACATGTATTAAAAACAGAGAATAGACTCCTGAATTTTCCGTTCTCAAATCTATTCTAAGTAGGTGCTAACTGACAATCCTTTCTGGAAAGATACTTTTTCAGCTTGGAAACACTATTATTTGCAAATTCATGGTACCCCGTACGATATCCAGAATATCCTGAATGAACCTCTATGGCTTAACCATCAGAACAAACCCCAAAAATGTTTTGGGATGTATGTGGTAATGAAGGCTTTGTTTCATTTGATATCATTAAAAAAGCGCACAACATTAAAGGTAGGTTTCTTGACTTTGAAAGTTTAATCAATAATATTTCTGCAGAATGGAGAGGGAAAATAAAAAAATAACAACATACTATTCTACAACCTAAGCTTATCTAAACCTTCAATGGACTTGCTCTCTGAATCTAAAGGATGCAGAATATACTACGACAACCTGCACAAGAATGTCAATCCACCTCATTCTTGTCTAAAATGAGTTTAATAATGTTATGAATTGGAAACTTATAAATACACAAACAAGGAGCTGTACCAAAGACAGTAAATTGTGTGATTTTCAACATAAATTGTTACAAAGAGCAATGTACACAAGAAAAGAACTCTTAAAAATGAAATTAATAAACAAAAATACATGCTGTTTTTGTGAAGTAGCAAATGAAGATATTCATCATGTTTATTATGAATGTACACATGTTAATATTTCTGGAAGCAGGTAGCAGAATTTATGAACAGAAGATGCACTAGCAGATGTGAACTATCAAAGGAGATTGTCTTTTTAGGACTACCCAGATGCTTTGATTATTTTTACAATCAGAATCAAGTGATTTCAGTAATAACAGTATTATTTTGTGTATACAGTGAATATTGAAAAATATATTGCAAATTTTAATCTGAAAGCCAATACTTTCATATGTAGGCCAGCTACCATTAACTGAACTTACGATACATACTTAAAGTATTTTCCTCACTAATATCATTATTGCCAGTATTATTACAACTTGATATTCACTACAATGTGATTTCTACCATGTATTGTGTATAGGTGTTATTGCATTGCCTGTTGTCTTATGAGATGTTTGCTCCTATCTGACCATCTTTTTTTGCACTTGAAAAGTACCATAAATAAATAACCAATACTATATTAACTTTTGAAACCATTGATTATCTATCACTATTACTTGTCATGTGTGATAATTTTTGCAATGTGACTTATCTTCTCTTTGTATCTATACAGTACCATGGATGTAATGGCACAACAGTAGTAATTTTTCTTAGACATTGATATATCACTACCTGACACCTGAATTTTCATTGCTCGTGAACGTCTTCTTCCTCTGTTTGGAAAAGCATTATAAGAGGACTATGTATGAGCACAACTGCAATAATACTGCCTTGTGTGTGTGAGAGACTGAGAGATGTGCGTGTTTGTATCTGAGTGTGCATGCGTGTGTTTGTGTGTGTGGACTTTTGTGTGTGTTGTTGTGTTTGTGTACGCCCATGTGTGTTTGTGTGTGTGATTGGGTGTGAGTGTATCTGACTGCGCATGCGTGTGTGTCTGTGTGGGTGGTTTTGTGTGTTGTGTCTGTGTACGCACGTGCGCGCGCGTGTGTGAGAGTGATTGTGTTTGTATGTGTGCGTGTCTGTGCGTATGTGTGTGTGTGTGATTGCTTGTGCTCGTCCGTGTTGATGTTGGTATTGTGTTGCTAGCCTCGGACAAACAGACACAGCATACTACCTTTGTGCTAACCAATGCACGTTTTATAATCTAACTAGCGCCTGGAAGGGCAACAACTTCTGGTTCAATACAGCCTTGGGATCGACCTTCTTCTCTACTGGCAGGCACTCCACCGGACTAGGGAATAACATATGACCCATGTTTCGTCTCTCTTCCTTTCTATCTAAGAGAAATATTTGTTGATAGCTTGTTTTCTGAAAGTAACACGGTATAAATCAAGAAAAACAACGTACAGTCAATCCTCTATGTATAATTAGGTATTTCCTTAATTCACGAAAGATGTCACTTTAGGTTATTACGAGGCAAGTGTGAAATATTATATATTTATGTGCTCAGGAATACTTATAGATTTCTATTTTATAAGCATGGTCATTGAGTATCATCTCTTTGAATGTTACACAGACACCACAGTCGTCGATGCACCGTGGAAAACTACTCAAATCCAAGTTAAATCCAACTCACTCACTCACTCATTCAGTACTCGCGAAAGCTTTACATTAGTTACACCTAAAACGTTTGCTCCATCAAAGTTCTGGCATTGGCAGTAATTCCGTCATTCTGACTGCTCAAAACGCCCTCTGTTTCCACGCAGTGGGTTCAAATTTACCCACCCGATTCGGGTCCTGCTGATTATTTTGAATATTTTAGGTGCGCACACATGAGCTGCTTCAGAGGTTGGCCAATCAGAATGAAGTATGTCAAATGTCGTCGTTCCATGCAGTGTTTTCAAATTTACCCACCCGATTAGGCATCTGCGAAATATTTTGAGATTTTACGTGCGCACACTGACCTGCTTCGGGGGTTGGGATTTCAGACTCCCAGTTAGAATAATTTATGTCAAATATCGTTGTAGAATAAGCCACAGTGTCCAGTTATCACACCACTTCTATACTGGGCAGGCAATAACAGTGGTAAAGTGGTGTACAACAAGTATATATTAAAATGAAACATTTCAAGTATACTGCTATTTATTAGCAAACAACATGTATACATTCTCTGGTCTAAATCGACACACGTTGACAGCAGTCTCAGTTGACATGGGGTCCTCCATTTAGACAGGACCCATCCTAGCTCTGTTCTTCCCTCTGTGTGTTATGCTGCGTCTCCTCCCCGGTGATGTGCAGGTCTCTTGGCAGGAGGAGGAGTTGTCTGTGACTGGACAGACTCTGACGTCACCCTGACATCGGCGATAAGGAATTCTGGATAACACACTGGTGCAATAACACGCTTGCTACAACAGTATGTTTTTCCTATAATACACAAAAGAAATATTACAGTGCTACAACAATGTATCTCTGTAATATTACACTGCTACAATAATGCATCTCTGCAATAATTCATTCCTACAATAATGTATCGCTGCAATACTACTCAAATACAATACTACACTGCTGCAATAATGGATCTCTGCAATATGATACTGCCACAATAATGTATCTGTGCAATAATTCATTCCTACAATAATGTATCGCTGCAATACTACTCAAATACAATACTACACTGCTGCAATAATGTATCTCTGCAATATGATACTGCCACAATAATTTATCTGTGCAATAATTCATTCCTACAATAATGTATCGCTGCAATACTACTCAAATACAATACTACACTGCTGCAATAATGTATCTCTGCAATATGCTACTGCCACAATAATGTATCTGTGCAAACATTTACTGCTACCATCCTGTATCTCTGCAATACTACTCTACTACAATAATGAATCTCTGCAAAAATTCACTGCTACAATAATGCATCTCTGCAATACTGCACTGATGCAATAATGTATCTCTGCAATACTACACTGCTACAATTATGTATTTCTACAATGCTACACTTCTACAATTATGTACAATGTATATCTGCAATAGTTCACTGCTACAATTATGTATCGCTCCAACATTATTCACTGCTATAATAATGTATCGCTGCAATACTACTCTAATGCAATTATGTATCTCTGCAATGCTACATTATTACAATAACGTATCTCTGCAGTATAATATTGCTTCAATAATGCAGTAATTTCTCCAGTAAATCATTGCTACAATAATGCATCTCTGTAATACTACACTGGTACAATAATGTATCTCTGCAATACTACACTGCTACAATTATGTATTTCTGCAATACTACACTGCTACAATACTGTATCTGTGCAAATATTCACTGCTATAACAATGCATCTCTCCAATACTACACTGCTACAATAGTAAATGTCCGCCATACTACTCTAATAAAATAATGCATATCTGCAAAACTTCATTGCTAGAATAATGCATCTCTGCAATACTGCACTGCTACAAT